TAGATGTGCTCGCTATAGTTCATTCAACTTATGATGGTGATTTAGACAGATAAAACGTTTCGTTTTATGATTCTAACTTTCTACGAATAAAAATATTGAGTTATAAAAATCAATTACTTTTGTGTGTTTTCATCCTTCCAAAATATCAATCACTAATCTTTCTCAATTAACCTAAACAAGAATTTCTAATTATTTATTAGTTTATTATTTAGAAAAAAATGTGAAAATATATTAAATGAATTGCTTCTGCGTTAGTCGGAACTTTTGCTCATAGGGATGGGACATAAACAATCGCAATAAATCAGTAATCGGCATGGTGGTCATCTTACCATCGAATCACGATTATTATCTCAGGCAGGTCAAAGCTAAGTCAGTACGTGTGCGTTTGCCTTTGATGACGGTTTTGTTTTATGCGATTTCTCCACGTATTGTTTGTTATTGTTATTTTGATGTTTTATTGAATAAAATGCATATATTTAATTCTTTGTAATTTATTTTGTACCACTAAGAATATTCACGTTTATTCCATTTACAGATAGTTCAAATGCATAGATATAATTTTAATCAAGATTAAAAATCAAACAAATAAAAGGCGATTAGATTTCTATAGAAAAAATTCTCTATTCTAAAAAATATCGATTAGGTTTATAAGGAGCGCCTCACTAAATAGAACTGTCATAATCACCATCTTACGCTGAATGGACTATAGCGACTGCGTAAAAAAATGACATTACTTGTATGACATATTGGTCAGCGCCCCTAGCGGCTACTTTCAAGAAACAAAATCTTCATAGAGAATCGAGTTCATGTCCATCCTGAGGAATGCGGTAGTGCTGTTACCTAACTAATTATGCTAATGTCGATATCGATAATTATTACCAATTAAGTAGGTCAACCTTAGGGGTCTTCCATAAAGTACGTAACACGTAAAGAGGCGGGGAGGGGGTTGACAAAGTGTGACATAGTGTGACAAGGGGTGGGAGGGGTCCTAAGTTTCGTGACATCACATTTCAATTGTTTCAAATATTTGATATATAGCCTGACCAGGAACATAAAAACCCTGGCATAGAGGCGCGTCAATTGCATTTGATAGTGCAACACTGAGTACAGTCGTACCTGTGTTAAATTAATAGGCTAACTTTATGTATCAGGATTCAGGATTACGGGCTAATTTGATATTTTCATAAATTAACGAAAAAATATTATTATAGGTAACCTGGTTTAAATAAATTAAATGAAACCATCAATCGAGCTAGTAGGATTTATTTTATTATTCATCAATAATCAAATTCAGAACTTGAATATTCAACTGCAATGTTTGCTCATGAACGCTTCAAACTCGGTACTTCTTTCCCAATTCCATAAAATTCAACACTTAGAAAGTGACAAAAAAATTTAAAATAGGTAGTTGAAACAAACCACAGCTAATTTTCATAGTGGACTGTACTATGCGATAAACATGTCAGTCAATTTGACAACCTTTGTCGGAAACATTATTCAATGAAAATATTGTCCGAACCCTTAGTATTTCTCTTCGACAAATACTTTAACACATTGTAAACCACTTTTCTTTCACGACTATAAAAAGATTTTAGCAATTTAATTCACAAAATCAATTGCGCACATTTAAAATAAAGTTTGTTTACACTTTGACAGCAATAGACTGACATGCAAGGTGACATGACAATGAAGTTTTCAGTTATTGTTGCCATTAAAAGAAATTAGTACCATTAGTTTTCCGCAACATGGCGAGGGTTTTTATGTTCCTGGTCAGGCTATAATGTTGATTTCATAAAAAAAGTACTTAATTTAAATGGAATTAAAAGTAATTTCGGAACTGCTGTTAATTTAATATTTTTTCGATGTGAAATTGCAAAACATGTGACGTCACACTAGGGAGGGGGGAGGGGGTCTCAGAAATGTGACCACCTGTGACAAGGACGGAGGGGAGGTCAAAAAATCATGAAATTCGTGTGACGTACTTTATGGATGGCCCCTTATCTACTTATTCCATATTTTTTGCAACTTATAAGTAAGTATAAGTAAAAGTAAGTAAGTAAGGCCCCGATGGACATGAACTCGCGGGGAGGTGTGCGGGTGAGTGCGAGGTAGATTCGCATTCTAACGAGGTGCGCAGTTAACTCGATCGGATTCGACTACCGACCTTCAACTCGGCAATTCGATCGGCTTTTGTCGCCTAAAATAAAAATGATTGTCAGGATTTTAAAGTTATTAAGTTTCAATAAAATTTACAGCATTGTTGAGTGGATGAGTTTTATTTTACGCTAAGCCTGCAATGCTAGCGAGTCCAACAACGTGTTGGGCGCCAAAACTTTTTTGGCGCCCAACACGTTGGTTGACTTTTACTGGCCGTATTATGTGTTTACAAATTACAGTTTGCAATGTTGTTTATGCGAGAAACATTCATTAAGTTATTGAAACAACATCCCTGCCTTATATTTGTATTAAATAGGCTCCTAACTCAGTAGGTAGGTCTCAGTTCGACGTGAAAATACATAACTAGTGTGTTGCAGCAGCAAAGTAAAATAAGTATTGTCGATTAGAACTTAAACCACCTTAAACTAAGTAGTCAGTAAGAAAAGTTCTCGATTGGCAAGCGTGCGGACTGGAAGACTAGGCAGGCTCTCCCAAGGTGGACTGATGATCTGGTGAAAGTCGCGGGAAGCACTGGATTCGCGGCATCGCAGAACCGATTGTAATGGAAACACTTATAGATTTTAAAGTTAGAACAAACAAAAGAATAAATCGTCAGTTTTGACATAAATTTCCCATACTGAAACTGTCAATGTGCCAGTTATACCAGGAGCACAGAATAATAAGTACTTAATAGTATAAAAGTTTGGACGAATCGGCCCTTAGTTATTTAACGAACGAACGAATTAAACGAGTCGTCAATTATTTTTTTCGTTTTATTTTTCATCCTCGTTTCGGCCATTTTAGTATCCATAAACTGTTTTGTGAAGATGGATGACTCTCTAGAGATGCATAAAGACCTGTCTTGTTTGTAGCCATGGACCTATAAAAAAAGGCGGACGGAACTCGCGCTACAACAAAACTGTGACGCAAATTTTGGCGTTTGTCTATTGTGTGAGTGAATTTAGGGATGCCATGTTAGCCAAAACATTTTACCCATTTATTTTAAGAAAAACATAGATCGGCAGATGTTACTTGGAAATGTAGACAGAATTATTCCGTGCCATTTTAAAAGGATGAAAGGTGAATGCGTTGAGGTAGGCGCGAAATTTTCAATGTTCAAATTTTCTTACATTGTTTGCAAGTCAGTGTGTCAGGGTATGTACATAATGTTGATCAAAAATGATTCACGCAGTTACAAATTACGAATCTTGTGTACATTATAATCATAATCTTATGCATCATCAATATATTATTATTATCTCTGATAGATTTTTTTTAACATACAACCTGACACTGACTTGCAATCAATGTAAGAAAATTTGAATTTCGCAGTTCCACATTTTTGGGAAGGATCAAATTTGCCTATGAAAATATATCCCATTAAAACACAATTATTATGATAAATTATTTTATTTCCATAGTATGCGTAATAAATAACTAAAAAGTCCTAAAATTATTATTAATTTCCCATATTTCGGGTAATTTTCCCACGTAAATAACTGAGAACACTGGTCTTTGACGTATTATTTTTTCGAGTGAATGACGTTTGATTTCAATTAATTTCAATATTTTAATGTCGGGAAATAAGTGATTGGATTATTATTTTGCCTGTGAAATGTGATTCCTTAATTTTTGTTTGTTCGAACAGAACGGTTTTTACACAATTTCATCACACAAGACATGTCGTATTCGTGTTGTTTTTTCGCTGCTTAAATGTGTCAACTGTGTGAAGTTTGCACTCGAAGTGGTGTAACAGGGTGTGAATGTGTGCGTGCCGGCCTGTACGTACAGGCAAGCTGGTGTATCCTAATGTCACAGTATTTTGTTGATGAGAATCCGTCCGACTTTTTTTATAGGTCCATGTTTGTAGCCACCTTTATTTGGCACGTAAAATAGTTTTTAGTATCGGTTTAGATTCGAGCTATAAATACAACGGAATGTAGCATCAATTTATTTGTCTGTCTGTGAATACCACGGTGTAAATGTATTCTTAGATCTGCATATTAGGTCATTGCCCAGACTGATTTTGTTTGTAACTAGCATCGTTTGAGGATCCCTTCGAGTAGGTATTTGGTTTAATTATACTTACAGTTCAAAAAGCAAAAAAGAAAATGTGCATGACGTGAACAAAACTTATCTTATTTTTATTTTCTTTAATCTTTTAAGTGTAAAAGTTAATATTTTCCAGTTAAAAAAACGTCGTTTATAATTAATTATTTCTTAGACCTAAAACTTGTGCCCTACAGTGGGATATAGGATACTTAGCAGTAGCGGCGTAAGGGGGGGGCGGTGGGGGCGGTCCGCCCCGGGTGCCAAGCATCAGGGGGTGACAAAAGTCGCGCAGATTAGTACTCACTAGCACATCTGCATGGCAAATCCGCGGTCTGTCATGATACGGGGGGGTGCGATTGTCTTTCAAATCGGTAGGTAACCCCAAAGTCCTGGGGGGTAACAAGGGGTGCCATAGGACTTNCGGGTACCAACCCATGCTACGCCGCCACTGATACTTAGGCTCTATTATTACTTCTTTTAGTTCCCGAGAAGTTCAAACGCCTTCAAAATCAGTTTAAATACCTTCTTAAATAATTAAAATTAAATGTAACCTTTTAAAACTGAAAAATACGTGATAAGTAGGTTTAATAAAACAAAAAGTAGATTTAATAGATTTTTTTGTGCCAAGAACAAAGGTTTGTAGTTTGTAGTTGTTGCGGACGGTGCAGAAAGGCTGATTTCTTTCTTAAATCAAAAGAATATTTAATTCGTTCCATATATTTTACGCGCGAAAATAAGAATCGGCACTAAATTAAAAGCATCCAAATATAAAAGCGCACTCCAATCTTCGAAGCGCATAAATAACAAGATTCATTGCCACTAAACGTCGCATCAATGAAACGGACCCATTTTGACGTTTCATATCGCATCGATAATTGTAGGTGGCGTTACTGTCTTCGTGGAAGCGCTCAGTGACCGCCCGCGCCCGGGCCGAGCTAGTTGCTTGCCATCGACCGGGCAAACCCGCCTTGAATGATAAAAAAACACGCGCGATTACAGCCTACAATGTCCAAAACCATCTATCATGAATAAAAAACACAAAACTAAATCAAAATGTCGCCGTGAACGCGCGTTATAGTGTTAAAAGTGCGGATTTTCGACGCTATCAAGCAAGGATCAGAGTGAGATAGGTGCGCGAAAAAGGATAGGCTAGATTAATGTACCTTGTATAATTAAAATATGACAAAATTCCTTGGTGTGTGAGTGCGTGATTTTTTAAAGTGGTGCTTTTTTCAATTGGCTTGCAATTTCGGGCTAAGGAATAAATGAAATATCCTGTATCCTGCTGCTGAAAATATAGTGCGTATTCATTTTTTTTACAGTTAAATTCACATGCATGTTTTTTAATCTGTGGCATTCTAAATTTAATTTCAAATTCCATTGTTTTTTTAGAAAGGAGTTCGCTTTGTTTTCTTTTTGATGTTGGCACTAAATCGCTTGTTTTTTGTTATTCAGCCATTTTGCATAAAGATCCCAAACAATCCTGCATGGAGGTGGATTTCATTAGGCTCTTTAATCTTTGCTAATTATGTTTTATAGCTTTTTAATTAGTGTATTAAAATGCTTGTTGTTTGATATAACTTTTTTGTTTAAAGCTTCATTTGATGTTATGTTTTTGTAATTTTGTTTAGTTAATTAAGCTGTATTTTGTTTGATGTGTTTTTGTTTTAATAAAACCTTTTTTAATGTTGTTTGTCTCATTATTTCGGTGTTGTTTGTGCGAATGTTTTTGTTATTTGTACGAATCATCGTTATTAATGTAGCCTTGATATAATTAATGAGATTTGGGAAAATGGTTACCTATACCTATTTTGCAAGAAAATTTATAGGCTGGGTTGCACCATCTTACTTTGACAAACGTCAAAAATCTGTCAAACTCCATACAAAAAGCACCGGTTATCAACATAGTTACCGTTAAACTTAGGTGGTGCAACTCGGCCTTATTTTACTAAACTTTTCACATTTCCAACTAATGTCTTTTTTCTGCGAATACAACTGTTAGACCTTAATCCATCATCAGACTCATCAGATTAATTTTTTTATGTGATAGTGGCAGAATGTAGCAAAGACTGTGATCCCAAAATGGTTGAGAAGCCCTGCCACCGTAAATCCGTAATCAGAATCAAAATCTATCAGCCCTAATGGTTGAGAAACCCTGCCACCGTCAGATTCAAAAGCTATCAGCCCTTTTCAGAGCACTTATATACGTCCCAATATAGCTTGCACTAGCCATCATTTTAGAACAACACAGGTGTCCTAAAATTAACAAATCACATCGAACAAGCTTAAATGTCCACAGAAGTTTCATGAGTTACGAGATAATATGGCCAATTACATTTAGTCCAAAAAATAACTAAAATTGGTCACATCTCAAATCGGGTTTGACGGAAAATGTGCACTTGGCAAAATGAGTACTTTTCTATACTTACTAATTTAAAGCTTGAAGAGTTTGTTGTATGGAAATACATATTTTGCGAAGTGCATATTCTGCGTCAGACCCCTTAAAACTCATGCTTCCACTTACTAGTCCATGTACATTTGTTGTCACTGTGCTGTTCTCAATATAGGACATTATGAGTAGCGTAAGAAACCCAGTCACCTCTGTCAGCAAAACAACTATTTTTCAACCCAGACAAAAGGAAGAATTGTCAAAGCAATCCGAGTTGTGCTCACGCAAACAAAGCAATATCATATTTTATTGACAAACTACCAGAAGAACTGTTGTTATTCTGTGAGATCGAATTACTTGCTCGTTTATTTCTTTTGTTATTCTATCTGCTGTTTTCGCGTGTAGATTCTCGCAAACAGCCCTTTAAAAGTTTCCTGTATCCATAAATAAAGAAGGTAGGTCGGTACATACATACCTAGGTACAATATAACTAACTACCTATTTAAATACTACGCAACGGAGTCTCTTACGCGTACCTAGGTACCTAGATTAAGCAATTTGATGCAATAAACTAGGCATCATTTGAAAAATATACTTACTTATATCGTGGCTATAAAAAAACAGGTATTTTGCCATCATCATCATCATCATTTCAGCACAAGACTTTCTGATTGCTGAATATAATATATAGAGTTATAGACATAGTAGAAACATAGTTGTTACATCTCCAACTAGGAGGCCTCCCTCTTCCTCCAATGATTTTTCAAATTGGCCAATTTATTTTTAATAACATTGTGCTCTAAAATTCAATATTGAACTTTTTTGATTTGTTTTTTTTTGCTCTTTAGAGCAATATTACCTTTGAATGTCTTAAATTAATAAATGGCAGAATGCGCGAAAAGAGAGACAGCGTTTTTTAGCTATGGCTAAAAAACAAAAGAATCATACATTATAATCCATGCAGTAGTGTAAAATTCTTACATAAAGTGTGTCTTCTCACAACAACCCAACTCAAGGCTTCATTCTCCATTGTATGGTATGATTTTTTTATGAAGGTACCGATTGCGAGGTTCTAAATATTTCCCACTATGTATTTGAGAGGTCTCAAGGTCTGGGCTCTCATTATGTAAAAGGTTTACATGCTTAGAGCACGAGGAAATGAACTGGGGATTTTTGATATTTTTTATTCGAACTCCGTCTATGTTCTTATGGTTAATTTTGCTGCGAGTCCAAAGTCAGTTTAACTTACCCCCAGCGGGACAAACTTGGCCTTCACTGGTTGGGTTATTGGCGGTCAAGCTGTAGAACCTGGCTACGCAGGAGTTGCAGCGGTGGGAACGAGAGGTGGGAATAGTATTCTAAAAAAAAAGAAGCATGCTGTAGAAGCTGTACCTAAATAACTCGCGGCTCCGTTTCATTGGGCTCCGGTGGACACCGTCGGGTTTCAGTGGGTAGGCCCCGCCTTTAGTGAGCAGGTGGGGTTAGTCCCACATAACCCACTGGCCGTCCCCATCGACCTGATCGACTGTATTTGAATAAGTGCTCTTAAAAGCCAAACAATTTCGAAAGTCGTAATTTTTATTTAAAGATACGGCTTAGCAATCTAATCTAAACTAACCGAAGTAAAACCTTGTTTGCTAAACTACTTTCTGCTATTTAACCGTTAGATTGTGGGCTTACCTTTTTGTTACAGTACAGCCAACTAGCGCAACTTTAAAATGTTTACGAAAAGAATTGGTTGTAGAGAAAAGGTTTTTTGTAGTAGCGGTTTTTTTACTATAGGTCTAGCGCTTAATTCAGTCAGTGCCTGAGGGAGGATTCCGTCAACTGGGACCGCAATTAACTGGGACCGCGGTCCCAGTCGCCGGATGCCTAAAAATTTAATAATTTTCTTCCGGCGACTGGGACCACTCATGGATTTTAGTACTGTACCAATTTTGGATTGAATAATATTTTCTTTTAAGTTATCTATGAGTGGTCCCAGTCGCCGGAAGAAAATTATTTTTTTTTATGGATCCGGCGACTGGGACCGCGATCCTAGTTAATTGCGGTCCCAGTTGACGGAAGCCTCGCCTGAGGTACGAGTGTGGGAGCGGCACGGGAGGGGTTCGTTTCAGCCGAAAGACGTCCACTGCTGGACAAAGGCCTCCCCCAAGGATATCGACGAAGACCGATCCTGCGCCGTTCGCATCCAGGCACCTCCCGCGACCTTCACCAGATCGTCGGTCCACCTAGTGGGAGGCCTGCCCACGTTACGTCTTCCGGCTCGTGGTCACCACTCAAGAACTTTCCTACCCCAGCGCCCACTGCCACTTGATTTTAGCGATTCTGCGGGCTATGTCAGTCACTCTGGTTCTCCTACGGATCTCCTCATTTCTGATTCGATTACGTAGGGAAACTCCAAACCTTGTTGAAAAATTATAGACCCATCTCACTTCTGAGCCATGTCTACAAGCTGTTTTCGAGAGTCATCACGAATCGTCTCGCACGCAGGCTTGACGACTTCCAGCATCCCGAGCAAGCCGGTTTTTGAAAAGGCTTTGTACCATAGACCACACATACGGGTACGGGAGGGGTACATTGACATAGTAATGAAGTGACAGAGCATATAAATCTGAAGCCTCGCTGACGTTAGACCGCGGGTCACATAATAACCCTAAGGCCCAGAACAGACGGTGAAACGCAACTGCAACGAAACTGCAACTGCTAGTACTTTTGAGTTGCATCTAAGTTTCTGCCATAGCGTCCGTTGAGAGACCACACATAACGCATTCATCAGAATCATCAAAAAGTTGCAGTTTCGTTGCAGTTGCGTTTCACCGTCTGTTCTGGGTCTAACCGTGCCGCTACCATACCTCAAGTACTGACTGAGTTAGGCGCTAGATTTATAAAATTCAGTTGTTTTCTAGTAAAGCCAAGATTCCCGTAAAGACAAAGCTGTTCAACATTGAATTTGTGTATCATGGGGCTTCCCGTTTGCAGTGTCGTATCCCGCAAAGAACCGATCCATTCGAATTTCATACACGGGACTATTCCCACCTCTCGTTCCCACCACTGCAACTACTGTGTAGCCAGGATCTACAGCTTGACCGCCACAAAAACTCAACCAATGAAGGTCAAGTTTGTTCCGGGGGAAAGTTAAACTGTCATTGGCCCCGCAACGAAATTAATCAGAAGAACATAGGAGGAGTTCGAAATTAAGGTTCGACTTCCCTCCATTGCAAAGCGGATGACAGATGACAAACAAAGGTTTAAAAACCTTTAAGAAAAGAAAAGAAAAGAAAAGTCTTCTTTCTTAAATGTTTTCTCTTTTCTTAAAGGTTTTTTTTTTCATACACACTTACCTATGTGTCACACGATAGTCCTCCTGCATTACTGCATCCCGCAAAACTGGATGCGCGTGGGAGAGCAACTCACGTGGCCTATGTCCTTGGATTCTGTATCATAACTTTAGCTTTCTCAATAGAAATTTCATTATTTTAGGACTTGTTTCAATTTTCGGGAGGAAATTGCATCGCAGCGTTATGTAGGTCATATCGGCTACTATTGATTTACTCCAAAACTGACGAATCGCTTTGTGTGAGGGTTTGGACAGCACCAGTTGATTAAAATACTTTATAGGCTGTCAAAATGCTTTTTCTTCATAAAGTTTAATGAAATACCAACCTTTATCATTGGGAGAGGGCTGCTGAAATAATGATGATGAACCTTTTTTTTAACTACGATAGAGGCGGAAGGATGGTTGGGTGCAATAGAAGGGTACAATTTAGTAACCGATCAAGAAAACAGCAAAATGTTTGACCATGATGAGTAAGTGTGATCTAGGTTGATAGGAAAGTTGAAGATCGTGCAAAGTAGACACACAACTTAGGCTAAGTTGCACCATCTTACTTTAACTTTAACAAACGTC